GACCTTGGGGAAGAAAGGGAAGTAGTAGCCTGCTAGAGGGCTAGCCACTGTCTCAAAGTCGAGGGGGATTTACGCTGGGAAAGATGGGGTTACAGGAGCTTGGTAAGTCCAGAACTGGAGCTGTCAACATGCACCTAGACGCCTGGACGCCTAGGTGCATGCTCTCCACAGCCAAATGCGCCGGCACCGAGGGGCATGATCTGGACCGTGGTGTGCAGATGTTCAAGTATCTAGGGAGGACAGAGGTGCTGGTGCGTGGTCCCTCGTGATCCATCATTTTCGTACCTTCGTCACATTTCCACTGTTAAGTCTTTTTGCATTGCACTTGGATGTGCAAGTGCCTGGGTGCATGCATGCCGTGCGCTTGGATGTGCAGATGTCCACGTGCATTCCAACTGGGCTGGTTTTTTTTTTTAAGTTTGAAAAATTCCAAATCAGGGGGTGTCATGCTCCCCCTCCCTCTCCCCCTCCCTCCCCCCTCTCCCTCCCCCCCCTCCCCGTTTTTTCCCCTGCGCAAGTGCCTAACGTAGTCTCTGCTTGGTGTTGCAAGTTCTGAATGCCCAATTGGTGAAGGTCCATTTTTGTTTCTTTGATTGATGAAGCTGCTTTTGTTCTCACCCCCCACCCCACCCCACCCCACCCCCCACCCCTCCGCACCTCGTCCGCACCTGTCCCTACGCCTTTTTTCTGAGGAGCATCAGACAGAAGTTCACCCCTTTTTTCTGAGGAGCATCAAACAGAAGGAAGAGTGAAGGTCACGACTCCGTACCTCACCGGGGAAAAAAAAAGAAAAGGGAAGAGCGATCAGAAGCCATAGATGTTCACCGCCGCCTAGCTCAGTTGGTACACGGTTACACGCACAGGCTGTTGAAATACAGACATGAGTTCAAAACTTCAGACTCAATGGGAACCAGTTGGCCAGATGAGGGAAAATAAAACAAAGAAAAAAAAAAGAAAAAGAAAAAAAAAAGTGCTAAGTAACCTAAGTTGCCCAACACAAAGAACATGATTGGGCCTTATGTCACAGGTTGTGTGGAAACTTGAAATCATCTGCGAAGCGGATGTAATGCGTCCTTCGGTTCCAATGCTTTTCTTCTGCTAATGGTGGTGGGTGCTTTTGTATGCGTGAACTCGTTGGCTTTGGTTGTGTTCTCTCTGTTCAGTTATGGGAGTAAGGACTGGCCCAATGGTTACCTTGGTTTCGCTCTCCGACACCAAACACCACATCAGCGATCCGCAGGTACTTCACCAGTCTTCCCCAACACCTCATCTCTATGCGAATGCCTTCTTCGGCTCCAGCAGTGCTTTATGTCCTTATACCAGATTACTGTAGTTATATACTCTGCCAATGCGCACACACCCACTCGTTGGATCCGCTTATCGCAAATGTGCTTCGTTCAAGTTCATTGTATACAATAGACGTAAACCTGGTCATGTTTTGGATCTACTCGTCTGGGTGGAACAAGAGCAGTTGTGGTGAAAATCTACGACACACACAGGGGCGGCGGGGAGGGCAGAGGGCAGCGCAAGCAGACTGGCAGCGAAGCAAAGGCACAGCGATTTACGCAGAAGCCCAGCAGCAGCAGCGAAACTGCACATCACACAAGCAAAATGCGTGGGAAGACTAGGCAAGGAGATGGATAGCCAGGCAACATCGCAGCGAAGCACAAGGCAAGGCGTCAGACGGCAGCCGAAGCGGACTGGCAGCAAAGCAACGGCACAGTCAGCAGCGCCGCCGCAGCAGGGAAACTGCACATCACACAAGCAAAATGCGCGGGAAGACTAGGCAAGCAGATGGACAGCCAGACAACATTGCAGCGAAGCACAAGGCAACACCAACAGCGCAGCGAAACTACACAATAACCCACCAGCTGCAAAGAACGACATGAGGGGCAAGTGTGATGGGCAGCAAGGCAGCCGCGGAAAGTAGAGAAGGCAGTGCACACATCCACCACGGAGCACAGCCATCCAAGACCTTCCCGCCACCTGCTGAGCCAGGGCTTCTACCATCATCCATAGACCATATGTATGCTTCACAGACAAACCGGCCACCCTAATAGTCCTACAGGCAACCAACCACCAACTGTTAGCACTGCTTTGAGTGCTCACTTAGAGACGGAAAGAAAAAATCAATAAAGGGGGAATACATACACAGAAAGTACTTAAAAAAAAATCAAGAAAGTGGAAGTCCATACATAAAACTGATTGTGTGTGTGTGTGTGTGAGAGAGAGAGAGAGAGGGAGGGAGTCGGGGAGGGATGGAGAAAGGGGGGGCAGTGGGGGAGGGGGGGAGAGAGAGAGAGAGTACAATGTGGGAGGTAGACAGAGGGGTGGATCAAAGAGGAAGCGGCAAAGGGAGATTGATTTTCAGATGGAGAGAGAGAGAGAGAGAGAGAGAGAGAGAGAGAGAGAGAGAGAGAGAGAGAGAGAGAGAGAGAGAGAGAGAGAGAATGATGTGCACAACATTGCTAATAGGGACAAGAGTACCATCTGCTCATTGAGTCAATATAAGACTGTTGATTTGCTGGGCCATGCTTAAGAAATTGTTTGTGTGTGTGTGTCAATCTGCGTGGGTTGTTTTGCTGATGGGACGCAGGCAGAGATGATAAAAAAGAGTTTTCTCAAGGACGTCGATGGTGAGTATATCAAAGCAGTCTCGCCGTTCGTTGAATTATCTGCTTGCATGGTATTTTCTTGGTATTGCGTTTAGGGTTTGGTGGTCTTTTTATTTTGGAGATTGATTGTGGGCAGAGTGGTATGAATCCTCCACAGTATTTCAACCAGGGTCCTTTTATCGAAAAATTTGACGGGCAAGAATAGGAGAAGAGAAGCAAAACGAAGGAGAGAGAGAGAGAGAGAGAGAGAGAGAGAGAGAGAGAGAGAGAGAGAGAGAGTTTCTCTTCTTCTCTCTTCTCTCTCTAAGTACGGACTTCAGTCTGTGAGCAGTGAATGCCTGTAAAACTACTTTACTGTCACTCGTGGGTTAATGATTGCATAAACGACTGGATAAATGAATGGATAAATTATTTGGATAAATGATTGGACAAACGAGTGGATAAAGTGGATAAATGAGTGGAGAAATGATTGGATAAGCGAGTGGATAAAGAGGTTCAAGTGGATAAAGTGGATAAAGTGGATAAATGAGTGGATAAAGTGGATAAACGAGTGGATAAATAGTCCTTTGGGACATCCATTAAAATTGGAACGATACAGAGCGAGAAGATTAGAGCATGGGCCCTTCGCAAGGACGACAAGCATAAGTCGAGAAATGGTTCGAACTTCAGACTCCGAAGTTTAAAAAAGAAGGGAAAAAAAAAAGGAAGAGTGGGTAATGATGAGTGGATCAATTAGCGGCGGATGAATGAGTGGATCAGTAAGCTTATTGATAAATGGTTGGAGACCAACTCAACACTGTAGTGGATAAACCCAGTCCCTAAACACCTTAGTAAAGCCAAGAGAGTTTGAGACCAAGCCCAGAGCGAGCGAGCGAGGGAACAAAAGGTTGCACAGAGTTGCAAAGCCAAATTGAGTTCCGTGTTCTATGATGAGAGGATTTGAATCCGGGGGGTGTCGAATCCTGACGATATCCTTTGTGAGAGAATCAGAGGTCTGCTGTCTGCAGTTACAAGTGCTCGGAAAGCCAATCGGAGAACCTGACCACTGTCTAAGAGACTGTCCGCATGCGCGAGCCCTTCGGGCCAAATGCGCAGCAGCCTGGATGTGCGTGTGTGTGTGTGTGTGTGTGTGTGTGTGTGTGTGTGTGTGTGTGTGTGCATTTGGCCCGAAGGGCTTCCGCATGGGGACAGTCTGTTAGACAGTGGTCAGGTTCTCTGATTGGCTTTCTGTGCAGATTTTGCAGCGGGAAGATGTTTCTGTTCTCTTCTCGTTAAGCAAGTTTTTTGAATTTTTTTCGGCTTTTTTTTTTACGAGTAACGAAACAAAAGTTTTTTGTTTATTTAACCTGAAGGAAGGCCCTATGATGGCCTAAACGAGGTTATTCAGCTTGGTTGTTGTTAGACAGTGGTCAGGTTCTCTGATTGGCTTTCCGTGCAGATTTTGGTCAGGTTCTCTGATTGGCTTTCCGTGCAGATTTTGCAGCAGGAAGACGTTTCTGTTCTCTTCTCGTTAACTATGTTTTTTTATTTTTTTTCGGGTTTTTTTTTTACGAGTAACGAAACAAAAGTTTTTTTTATTTATTTAACCTGAAGGAAGGCCCTACGATGGCCTAAACGAGGTTATTCAGCTTGGTTGGGAATGCTTTTTGTTTTTTGCTCGGGTGCACTTCGCTGGGAGCTCTCCCATGCAGTTGTTTTTTGACTGACCAATGAAATGGGGGACAATGTCTGCTGTCTGTGCAGATATGGATGCTGAGCAAGAGGAAGAGGAGCTGGGGGGATTGCATCGATCGATTGCAGTGACAGCCCTGCGGATGAAAGACGAGCATCTATTGGAAGAAGAGGAAGATGATCCCCAGTTCACAGCAGCCGCACAATGGCTAAGAGCATGGGCGCAGAAGCAGGCTCGCAAACAATAGGCGAATAGGCCGGTGAGAAAAGCCGTCTTGAAGGTCAATCCGGTCGTGCTAGATCTTTTCGCTATCTGGTGATGGTAGCGACGGTTGCATCTGATCTGAAAAATGCAGAAAAGGACTCGAGTCTTGACTGTGTTCACCAGCAACTGGCAACGAGAGTGTTGTTTGAGCGTTCAAAATGCGCGTGAGTGGAGTGGGAGGAACGCACAGGAGAGTGAGTGGGAAGAGGAGAGAAAAGCGCACAGGAGAGTGAGTGGAAAGTGGAGAGAACAGAGGCGTAGGAGTGGGTATGATGGAGTCTATGGACTCTACCGTTGTTTGGAGGTGCGACAATCACAAATCTCGAGACAAGCCGACCGCAAACGATCGCTCCGTGCAAGAACGAGCACGATGTTTGCCGACACACAGCAAAGGAGAGATCATGGGTGGAGGAAGGTTTTGCAGTTGTGTTCCGTACCGGCATAGTAAGGCTGGAGGAGTCTGTGAGCTCTCCCCTCCCGTATGTGGGAGGAGAACACTCAGGACAGGATCGGCGCAGACAGGTGTATGTTGTATATGCCTGTACACAAAGGTGAGAGAGGCCTAACTTAACTTATCTTACTTAAACTTTTTGGGCTTTCGTTCTGGTTTACGATATGCAGCTTACACTCGGTGGAAGGTGGTGTGGTCTTAGATCTGCCAACCCTGTGCAAAGGGAGAGGGGAGAGAGAGATTGCAAGCTATTTTTAGCCACTAGGAATGCGCGGAAGCCAAGTCAAGCAGACTATGTTCATCCTCATATTTATGGCACCGGACGGGAAAAGCGTGGGCGCCGTAATTTTGAGCGCGGAGGTCCTTTCTTGCAGTGTTCATTGAAGGTGACGACAGCTGTCAGTGGACATGGGTGCCTGTCGCCAATGAAAAAAAGGCCAGACCAGTGGACCTGGGACGTATCCACACGTTCAAGACGACAACGACGGTAGCCGGGGGCCATTTCTGCGATTGCACGGAGCCGAGGATGAAACCAGGGAACAACCTGGAGCAGAGCGGGGTAAGTCGCTGTTGCAAACGCATGAGTTCGATTGTGACTCAGGCCTGCCAGGGGAGGGTGATGAGCTATGCACTCCGCGTGCTATTAGTGTCCACACCCTGATTGAATGTGTGTGTAGCGGACGAAAGTTTGAGGATCATTCTTTAACAGGAGGCCATCCAATCCAAATTGAGAACAGGACACGTGTCAATCTGCTTGGAAGAGAGAGAGAGTGTACAGTATTTAGGCGAAGGAGCGTTGCTTCCTTTGGGCTCAGATTGAGCTGAAGGGTCGGTGCTGGAAGAGCAGTGTAGTATATACGGTTCTTGGAGGAGGAGCTTTCCATCTTGGTCTGTACTCCAGGGGAGCGTAGACAGGAGCTTTATGCGGAGAGGATCAGATCGTAGGTCTGTCTGCAGAGAGCAGGGGAGAGAGAGAGAGAGAGAGAGAGAGAGAGAGAGAGAGAGAGAGAGAGAGAGAG